TAAAGATGTAATATAAAAATGATTAAAAAAAATTCATCAAAATTTTCTAAATCTGCTGTAAGTAAATTTCATTACATACTCTTTTTTCAATAAACGAATACGTGTTTTTTTTTTTTTTTTTTTTTTTTTGTATTTTGTATTTTGACAGCACAATACAAAATGATAAAGGTTTCGAGGAATAAATATATAGAATGAAAGTAAATTCACGTCGTTAATGTTTTTGTTTTTATATGTTCAATTTATGGTTGTTATGTACACAGATAAATCCATTTAATGTCTTTATAAAAGTAGGCATACGCGAAGCAAGAATTTCGACGATTTTACAACGCATGTAGTGATTTGTTATTTTCCTTATTTAAAGAGACGTCCGTGCTCGTTATGTTACGGAAGAAGAAATACGTAACAATTTCATCCATTACTTTTGAAACAATTTAAAGAATGTAATAATAAATCTCTAAAAATAAGCTCAAAAAAAAAGAAATAAATAAATTAACCTATAATTGATAAAATACGTAATAAAGTACAGGCATAGGCATGTAGTGCTATCTTTTACATAAACTCGCAAAGAATTAACGTCGAATGGAATGTTTATCAATTGCACGGTTCATTCGCATTCTTGATCCCGATTAAAATCGTCTCGTGTGACGTCGCGCACACGGGAATAAAATACCCTTGAATGATACGTGTATGCAAGTTGCACAAATGGAATTAACATTGCACATTGAAGTTGATCAACTCATTCGAGTCTTTTTTTTTTTTCTTTTTAACTCTGTTTCCATGTGTCAAGTGTCCGATCATATCGTCTTTATCGCGGTAATTACAATTTATAATGCGCGGGTAATATTTTTTTTTTTTTTTTTTTTTTTTTTTTACTACTGTTGCGAGAACGCGCTCATAAACATTTTAAATCTTGTTGGCTCAAGTCATGATGCTTACGTGGAACATTTACCGAGAGTCAAAAATAATTAAAATAGTAATGACGCGTACATATGCACGCGAACCGCACGATGAGAATGTAACAAATTACATTTTTATTCTTTACCATTTTCTACCATATTATATTACTTTAATCCATGCAACATCGATTGTTAATTTTCTAACGATTATTTCTCTATTATATGAGCTTCTTCGGCATTCAAGCGACTTGTGAGTCTTGAAGTCAATGTGACATTTTCGTAACGGAACTTCTCCCTAGCCAATAGTGCCCAATAAAAATTTCTTAAAGATAAATCCAACAGCTTGACGATTCCATTACGATCCAATTCTCGCTCGCACCAATACACAATTAATAAAGATCATGCCATTGAAAAATCCTTCGTTCATTCCTATGGTGAAAAATAATTATAATCCCAGGCACTTTCGAGGATTCTCGGATGGATTGTATCGTCGCAATCCCTAATACTCATCGATAAGTTCATATTGCCCCGAGTATTCTTCGTTATCGGCTAAAATTTACGAGGCGATGAAGACATAAGAAGTAAGAGGTGATGCAGTGGTGGCAGCGGAATCTTTCTTCCGTTTTCCATTCGTTGCGGCTCTCGTCGCTTTTCTCGTTTAACGAATACGTGCAAACTTCCGGAGCACCAACACGGCCAACGTGGCCCCGGTTCGCAATTAATCACAAAGAGCCGCGAGCTGCACGTGCATCCCCATAGTGACACGTGCAAAAAACAATTGGCCAACTGAATATCGCACGTGCGAGATCTGCCTCTCCTCCCCCCCCCTCCTCATCACGCCCCTGGCTCGCCAAAAGCGCATCCAACTCGATTAATTCGTGCCCTCGTACCTCGTTACTCGCCTTCGTTGCCAATCGGCTGATCCCACGGATACTTACGATATGGAGCCTCGCACCCGATAACTTCTTTGACGAGATGAAATCAATCGGCCTAGAAGCACGTGACTTCACTTCACCTCCAATCAATATTTTATAGCTCCGCCTGCGTTCTTACTTTCATCTTGCAGCAACTGAAACTCTGCAGATGATTATTATTCTGGATAAAGTGTAGATATGCAAAAGATTGTTGATGAGAGCGTGTAAGGTAAGTAACTCGGGATTATCTATGTCGAGGGACATTTGACTGTATTTGTAAGCCGATATGTGTTGATATTTTGTATATATATATATATATATATATATATATATATATATAATAAAAAAAAACAAAACAAAACAAAACAAAAAAAAAAGACAAAAAAAGAAAAATGGACTTTTTTTTACCAAAACGGTAAATCCACGCACGAGTGCACAGCTAAAAGTCTGTACCTCCTTCACAATTCCTTAGTAAATGACAAGGAATAGGTCGATGATAAGACGAGCGGTGTATCCTAAATATTGAGCAACTCCACGTACGAATGAAAATTTTAACTTATGATTTTTATTACCACACGTATGTGTGCGTCGGTGCATATGTCTAATAATTTCTCAAGAAACTTAATAACCGTTTAAAACGATTTTACGATACTCGTCTAATTAACTCTCTATATTAAATGTAATATGAATTCGCGGTAGTTTCGACGAAATTAGCAGTGACTTATATTCCGATAATTATGTAGAAAAGCGATTTTTTCACAATAGTTTTGTTCGCAAAACTAGAAAACGTAACGTGCAGACCGTTGAATGCTTAATCCGTACACTGCACGTAATAATGATCTATGTAATCGATAAAAAACATTCTCCATCATGTATCCACCGAGAATAAGGCTACTCTAACTGAAATCGTTCTTATATTTCAATCATCTTAAAAATAAGTACAATATTTTATCCTCGTGTACTTGATATGCACTTACATCTTACGCATTTGCCGATTAGTAATTTAACCGTCTTGTTTAACGAAGCTTTCGATCGGATGTCTCGTCTCAACTACTATCGTATAAAATAGGTCGGAGAAAAGAAGTTCAACGGCTAAGCATTTTGCCGACTATGTATATTATTTGACAGGCTGAAAAAAGAAAGAGACTTCTCGGTAAATTTGTACGTAAATCGTATAGGAACGTCAATCGGCGATCACTTTGCGAGACTTTCTGTTTTGTGATTATCAGCGTAGAAGTTTCAGTAAGACAACTTTCAGCGTTTATGAATCTATGAAATATTGTCCCGTTTGATTAAAAAAAATTTTCCGATTAGCATTCATTGCCCATATTTTACAATTTCTTAATAATTATTATAATCTGAAATGGGCGATGGGATGGAGGTGGGGGAGCCTCTCCCCTCCTTAAAATCGTTTACGATATAATGCCAATTGTAAAAACTAATTAACTTCTAACAAAAAACATAGCCTATCGTTGATAAAATTAAAAAGTCCCCTCAACATTCCGACGACTCGATGTTGATCTCTTTCTCTCTCTACTTCAAATCTTAAAAATCCCCTGCCTATGAAACTTGACTTTACTCTCACTTGGGTTTTTATCTCCTTGGGGCGACTGCTTTAGTCGCTCGAGTAATTTGCACAGGAGCGGAAGCGAGACCATATCGATATTAATCCAGAGTCAAACGCATAACGAATAATAATACTCGTTGGAGCAAAATCACGCCAGTTGGACATTTGCGCAAAACAATGCGCAAAACGGAGGTTGAAACAACGTATAAAAGTGCATGGAAAGTTACGAGCGGCGAAGGGGAAAAGGGGCGTTGAATAGGTGTCGACGAAATGTAAATTAAGAGGGAGTTTCGGGAGAAAAATGGTAAATACAAAAAAATTGTATACACTTTATTTGGCTCTCGGCACAAAAGTAACTACGACAAAATAAAAACAAAAAAACAAAAAAATACCACGTCTATTGAATTATACAATTTTGCATCACGTGTAAGGGTTAGAGTGGGAGCATCCGAGTCTTTTCCGAGTTGGAAAATCCTAGCGACATTATAAGTACATCATTGTTCGTCGAGTAGAAGAGTAACTGCATCTTTTAATTCCTTCGGCACACCAATTTACAAGGGGTCGTCGGAGGCCTTAAGAGTAACAAGTCCTGCAATGGTATTAAACTGAAGAAGAAGCGAGAGCGGTTGTAGAAGCCAGCGGATCTTCTAAAAATTCCTGTTAGCTATGAGCGCCTTGGGAGTATTTTCAAAAAAGAAAAGTGAACGCTTCGGGCAGTACTCGAAAGAAGTCAAGAGCCCGTCGGGGAAGAGGGTGTACAGTGAGTGCACGAAAGACAGAGGGGGGGAGGGGTGAGAGAGAGAGAGAGAGAGAGAGAGAGAGGTGAGGGGGAGCGAGAGAGCGAGAGAAAGAGTATGATGGCCAAGAGAGAGGGAGAGTAAATGCAGCAAACGCGCGTGGCCGCAGCGCAACGCTCCTCGTAAAACCTTCGCTCGGCGCGAGGGGGAGGTGGAGTAGGCGAAAGGAGCCGTGGGGCCGGGGCGGTTAGGGAGGGAGGCGGTTGGTCGCGGAGGCGGCGGGGTCGGAGAGGAGGGAAAAAGTACGCCGAGACTCGCTGGGCGAGAGGCGGCCGGCAGTAGGCCAGCGGCGCTCGCGGATGGCGCACGAGAGAGAGACGAGTCGAGCGTAGACATGGACCTGCGCTCCGGCGACGATGACGGTGGTGACGACGGCGCGCGAGCCTCCGGGGCGACCTAGAGCGTGAGTCGAGAGACCGCACGAAGGGGGGGGGGGTCTTCTCAGTAGCGGTAATCTTAGCTACTGCCGTTGTTACTGTTGTTGTTGTTATTGTTGTTATTGTTGTTCACGTTATCATTATCGTTACCGTTGCTGCTGCTGCTGCTGCTGTTGTTATTATTATTATTATTATTATTATTATTATTATTATTATTATTATTGTTACTGTTGTTGTTGCTGTTGTTGTTGCTGTTATTGTTGTTGTTGTTGACGCTGTGGTCTGCTGAGTGAAAGATCGACGGGTGTGGGGGTTGCGGGGCAGCGAGGGGGGCAGGAAGCGAATGGTCGCCGGTTATTCGCGAGGTGGTGCAAGGGTGCGTGGCGATGCTTGTAGCGCCGCGGCGACCCTGAGAGCGAACGATGACGACGAAGTACGACCATTTCAAGGACGGCTACGACGGACTGCCGGCGGTCGTCGAGGCGACACGAGCACTCAGGATCATCTCGGGCCGGAAGCGCCAGGCCCCCGACGTTGCCCTCGAGGGCCGCTACAGCTCCGGCTGCAGTTGCGAGAGTTACGATGAGCGCTACGGCAGCACCGTACTCCAGTGCACATCCTTCTCGGGCTCGTATCGGACAACCGAGCCAAAGAAGTACCTAACGATCGTGCATCTAATGGGTCCGAACGGTGCTGGCGAGGTGCAAGAGGATTTCGTGGCGCCGGCTTCCGTTCACTCGAGGAACGACTCGGGCTTCGTGGACGATTGTAATCTCGAGGAGGAGGTGCTGCGTACACAGCCCCCGACAGTCATCTACCGACATGGAAGCGTCGAGCGGCAGCATCCGCAGTATCATTACCATCGTGACAATGAGCAGCATCAGCAGTATCAGCGTTCGCTCGGTAGTAAGACGGAGCAACTGATTGCGCGGAGGTGCTGTATCGGGAGCTCGAGGAAGCGACAGCAGCAGCAGTACGAGGGCGAGATTAAGCGGAGATCCGCGTCGTTCGAGTCGCGCGTAAAGGACGAGTGGCAGGCGATCGTGGGCGAGTCCTCGAAAGGACGGCAGCTCCAACTCGAGATACCGCGTCCCTGCACCGAGGTCGCGAGCATCGACGAGGACGAGGGATGTATCCTGCTGAGGGTGAGGCTCCTCCATCAGGACGAGTCTTCGTGCGTCGAGTCGGCGCCCCTCCTACGTCAGCAGGACGAGCGCTGTACGAGAAGGGACAGGGAGAGGGCGAGGCTGCTCAGAAGGCGCAGGATCAACGGCAGATCGGCCTCCGTCCCGAGGATCAATGTGAGTGGGGCGGCTGGATATCTCGCATTTTCTCATGCGCCATTCGATTTTCCAAGGCTCGCAACGGCTAGCGGAGGCCCCGACGTACCGTGCGTCCTTCGACTCGAGCCATTACAACGGGATCCTCGATGCCCGATGCGAGTTAATTGATTCCTGGTTCCGCCACGGCTCTCGATGATTCCCATTTTCTTTTTCTTTTTGTTTTTTTTTTTGTTTTTTTTTTTGTTTTTTTTTTTGTTTTTTTTTTTGTTTTTTTTTTTGTTTTTTTTTTTGTTTTTTTTTTTGTTTTTTTTTTGTTGTTGTTATTGTTGTTTTTTTTCATATAATTACGCCCGTTTGTTTATTTGTTTGTTTATTTGTTTGTTTTTTTTTTTTTTTGGAAAGAAATCTGCTCCACCGACTCCACTTTTATTCCCGATATATCACGTAATTGAAACGAATCTTTTTTACGGCTAATGAAAAATGTGGCGCGATTAAAGCTCCTCTCTCGCTCTCGCACTATCGTCCTTAATATCTTATTCCCCGAGTGTGTTCCTCGGGTCATTACACCGCGCGATATTGCATACCATACTCTCATAAGTGATGACTGCAGTTAAAGGATTGCCGATTGGAGATTAGGCATTGAGCGGACCGTAAGGAAGTTTGAGCACCGGGTCGCCAATATTTTTTACGCGTTTATCTTGCATTTCGTTTACACCAATTTGCCGACGATATAATAAATAACCGAACACTTTCGGTGATTGGATGCTCCAAGTTGCACATATTAACGGATCTTCTCGAACGAAAGCTTCGCTAAGCCAAACCAAGCGAAATGACGTCAATAAGGATTATTGAGATTCGCCGAGCCGATACAACATAAGTTATATCAAGCGACTCATCATTGTTAATCGACTGATGAAAAAATCTGCCGTAAACTCGTAATCGAACCATTGGTTCCGTATGCCAAGCATACGGCAAATACACGGCAATTAGACGTCTCGTTGGAAATGCTAACGATCCTTGACGCACGCAGCGTTAATAATTTAACGGATGAGTGAATAGTGTCGAGTGCGGAGGAAAATTGTCAAAGCTGTTGCTCCCCACGACGTTGGGCCATTGCCGATCATCGCTTTTTGCAATCCGTGGGTGCGATCACCCTCCGCGATATTAATGGCTCGCTCGCCCGACACCATCCGCGCCGTTCGTTTGAATTTTATTAGAAAGCCCGCGCACGAGTCCCTACTAGCCTTGCACGCACACGGTCATTGTTTAGCGTAATGGAAAATCTCGGTCTCGGCACTCACGTCGGTCGCTCAACGAGTTGATCTCCGTCCCGCGACTTCCCTCCTCCTCCCCCCCCCCGTCGTTAGCGGAATCTTATGCAATTTCCCGATTTTCTCGTGGCTGTGGTGGCCCGGGGACAATGCCAAAAGACCCTCGCGGGTCTCCTCGAGACGCAATATTCCTTAAGCGAGACAAACGAATCTTACGTAAGGACCGCTAGCCTCGGTAAGACGAACGAAAAACGATTTGTGCCTCGCCCCCTCCCCCACCCCGCCATTCCAATCGTTTCATCAAGTCACGAATTCCTCTCATCACTCCATCCCTTGGATTCGTGTCTCCCAAGCGACAAGTCCACTTTGTATGAACGCGACATTAACGTATCTGGTATCTGGTAATTCTAGGGGATGGAAAAGATCTTTGACATTTGAACGTATCGGGTCGCGCGAATCTCATGCCGCACGAAGACGACAAATTAATGTATCTCGATCCCTTTCCGTTTTCATCGGACAATGTATGCGTGGGACGGGGTGCGCGTGCGCCTCGATGATCGCCGCTGTTATTATATATGAATAATGGCCGAAGGCTTCTTTCGATCTTGAGCTTTTATGTGTATTATTAGAGGGGAAGCGTATGGGCAGCGAATGAGAATATGGCCAACTGTTGTGAAAATAATGTTAGATAGCGATATCGCGATTTGCGGTGCGATATGTGTTCTTGGTAATTCGATGCCTTATATTTCGTTCGCTGAAAACCGAACGACGTTGGCTGATTGTACTGGTTCTGGAAAATTGATGGCTGACTTTTCTTTGGGTGAGGCCTGGCGCAAGCGCAAGTACTTCGGACGTTAATGGCTAATATAGTTAAATGAAATCTGTCGTTGTAACGTGGGTCGTGGTACGGATGCGCGTGCGTAGTATTTGAAAAATTTTTTTCTACATATTCGTTGAAACGTGGTTAAAATAGTTTCTCGGCAAATTTCTTAATATGACATTTTCGGTAAAATCGTTAGAAGGTCTAAATGGAAACTCGGTAAGCGCTTAAGTATTATTATGGATGTGGCAAATGGTGTGCGAGAGACTCGAAAACGGTTCCCTCTTTCTCGTATCGCCCCATCCCCCTAACTCCCAATACTATACGACCACTCCAAAGCACATAAACAAAATATTACTCATTTTTATGAGAATCTCATAAGGTGGAATGACCCTGTATTTAAGCTTTCAGCAAATCGCAGAGTTTCGAATAAACTCCCTTCGAATGTGCTCTTTAAAAATAAAGGAAGGAAGGTTGCGACGGATACACGCGTGAAGGGACAAAAATCTATGAGCCAAAGACGCGGTCAAAGCTCGTGAAAATTACGCGGATAGTTCGTTGAAAGAATCGTAAAGGGAATTCACGTAATAATACGCTCTATCCCTTAAGTGTATACATGTATAGTTGCGCCTTCGGGGAAGAGCCGCGATATTCATTTTTCCTCCGCTCATTCTCCTGCTCTCGAAAATTAAGGAATTACCCCTGCAGGCCATAATACTACGTGGCGAAGAGAGATAAAGAGAGACAGAGAGTCGAAGAAGATTCTTCACTACTCGATCGCGCCAAGCTCCGAAATTACTCCCTATGCTTTTTTACAGTGGGAAAAGATCCTTTGATTTTCGAGCGGTCCTTTCGCTTATTTCCTTTTCTTTTTCTTTACCATTCTTTTTACAATGCTTAAAACGCTTCTATTGAAAAGCGCAATTTTACGTGCAAAGTTTCATAAAATACTATCAAAATTATGATTACAGTACCGATCCGATGTTGCGATCAAAGTATTTTTTTATTATACTAATTTTCTTCGGTATGTAGAGAGAAGGCTACATTGATTTTAACAATTATGGCTTTGTAATAATAATACGAGCGACATTTGTTGTTAATAATTCATCTTTGTCCCGATAAAATGATGCATTTTTTTTTTTTATTTTTTTTTCATTTATATTTTATTTCTTTGTGTTATCATCATTGATAATAATTAATATGCGATTGTTAGTACGTTATTGGTGGAGCAGTGCCTTTGAATTTCAAATTATCTCCATTTCCGTGCAGTCATACTGTTTTCAATCAATTAATTATAAAATTCCCTCCTATATCGATTATAATTCCTTAAGACCTTTGTAATTAAAAACTCCGGTGGCTTTTGTTTATTAATAAGCATAAGCGCTCGGTATGAATAAGATTTTTTATTTGATATAACACGATCGATGTATTTGATTTATAAGATTAAATCAATTGTTGAATTGGTTATCTTGAATCACGTAAAATAATAATATTGATAGATAATGAATCAATTGCCTTGATAGAAGATGACGCTATAAAGAAATAATATTCTTTTGTGTCAGGCTCGAAGCGTTCGATTTGAAAATTAACCAATTAACAAAAGTATCTTTGTGATGCTTAAATGATGACTAGTTTCGTTTAATATCTTCTTCGTTATTTTTTTTCACATCGAAGATAGCTGATTTTCAAAGACCCGTCACTAGACAATTTTTTGGCAAAACGATGAAAAATTCGGCATCGTCATCGTCTATAATATTTGTAATATTTAAAAGGAAATGACTTTATCGTGAGTACTAAACGTCGATCGTTCGATCGGTATTTATAAATGAAAATTATTGAAGAAAGGAAATACATTCGCGAATGGATAAAAAAAGATTTCACGCGCTCGAGCGTATTTACAAGAAATCACAGCCACGCGACAATTTTTTTAAAGTAAGGAAACAATTACTTTTTTATTTATTTAAATATTTTCATCTTGTTTTTTTTTTTTTAATACCTGCCTCACTACTGTATGCCTAATATTTTCTCTTTTCTCTTTTCTTTATCGTCTAAAGCGTCTTCAGCCGCTGACACGCAGATTTAACGTACGCATTCGTCGATCTGAATAATACGCCGCCTTCGTCGTTGGTGTACCCTCGCGCATGTCATAAAGCGCGTAAGCGACTAGTACTTGGTGTACTTAGCTCGTTGTCGCCAAAATGAAAATCTCTGGCTGCCTTGACACTCTCTAAACGAATCCGATGAGAAAATGGACTGGATGAGACAGGCGGCTAACAAAGTGAAAGAAACTCGCGCGACATAAGTCGACACACATACGCTCGCTTATACACACCGATAATCCGATTTACGCGGAGGTGCTTGGCCCCCGCGTGTGCACCATCGTACATTTTTTCGACGACGGCGAAAAGCGTTGGCTGGCAAGATTTTTGGCGCCACGCACACTTGCCGGCGTGAATGACGTCTGCACTTGATGATAGAGTGTTGCAGCTATTAGGGCAGCAGAGCAGAGAAGACTAAGCGAATATCGAATCGACTTTAAAGATGTGTTATGTGAGCAGTGAGAGTAACGGGTGAAAGTACGACTGTCGCTCCATGTCCGTAATCGCACTTTCCATACGCCAGCTATGCGGATAATTGATTTTGTTATATTTTATTTCTCATTCTATCTCAGCTATCTGCTTGGATCCTGGAATGTGGCAATTGGACCGCGCATGGCGTCGAGCTGTAGTTGTTGTAACGGGCGCGCGGTGGTTTCGTGTGAGTCGGCCGTGGAAAATTTGACATTTTCGTCGGATTTTGATGATTGGCAGAGGTGCAAGGGCAAAGCGGACCACTACTTCACGGTTTGCCGTTTTCCTCTTGCCCCACTCTCTCTCTCTCTCTCTCTCTCTCTCTCTCTCCCTCTCTCTTTCCTATTGCAGCGAGCC